CAGCCGGGCGCGCCGCGCAGCGCCGTGGGAGGAGCTCGGGGACGCCCGCCCCGCCGCGCGCGGCGCACCAGGTGAGCACGCGTGCGCAGTCCAGCCGTAAACAAGCCCGCCCCTTCGCCTCGGCCCGCCTTCCAGGGCCGGCTCGAGGGTGGGCGGGGCGAGGGAAGGGGCGGGGCGGGGCGAGGGAAGGGGCGGGGCGAGGGAAGGGGCGGGGCGGGCGAGCGCCTGGGACGGCGCCTGCGCGGTGGGCGTGATCCGGGCACTTAGGGCAGGATGAACGCTGCTTTTCAAGATGGCGACGGAGGGAGGAGGGAAGGAGATGAACGAGATTAAGACCCAATTCACCACCCGGGAAGGTCTGTACAAGCAGCTGCAGCATTCGGAGTACAGCCGGCCCAACCGGGTGCCCTTCAACTCGCAGGGATCCAACCCTGTCCGCGTCTCCTTCGTAAACCTCAACGACCAGTCTGGCAACGGCGACCGCCTCTGCTTCAATGTGGGCCGGGAGCTCTACTTCTATATCTACAAGGGGGTCCGCAAGGTACCGACCCTGGCGTCACCGGGGCCCGCCAGTGGCGCGGGCAGAGGCTGGGAGCAGGGCGGTGACAGCGGCCCCAGGGTGACCAGTGGGGGTGGCCGTCGCTGTACTTTTGAGTGGGCCGGCAACTCCGCTGGGGTACTCTTGAGGAGAGGGGTTCTCGAGAAGGGTGGCGGTGGGGCACGGGGGCTGTGGCGTGCGGGGTTCCGGCCGGGTCGCCCCGAGGGGACCTGCTCCCGGTCTCCGGGCAGGGTCCGACAGGCTGTGACACGGCCGGGGAGCGGGCCTGCGGGTCCCCGGAAGAGGTGGCGTGGCCGGCGTGTCTGCCCCCATCGCCTCGGCTCCCCGGAGGGTGGGACGTCGCCCTGGGCTGGAGGTCAGGGTGCGAGGTGGCTCGGGAAAGTCTGTAAGGCGGAGGACCGAGACTAGGTCAGAAAGGACCTGCTCGGCACGCAGGGCACTCCACCTGCTGCCGCACTGACACTGCCTCCGAGCCTCCTCTTCTCGGGTTGGCACTTTGTATTTCCAAAATCCTCCGCGGGAGGGACGGCTGTCATTGTCTCCGCGGAGGGAACCTGCGAAAGACTGGAGAGAGGGTGGTCCTTCCCCTTGCGGTCCGGGAGGGCTGAGTACTAGGGCTGGGAGTGGAAATAATGTGTCCAACGGGCTGAGCTGCTTGGAGGGCCTTGCGTGAGCGTGCCCAGGTGGATCTTGTCTGGCAAGTCAGGCTGTGTCCCGAAGAGGGAGGGATATGCCTTAAGAGCTACTTTAAAAGAGCCTGCCTCCTCGGCGAGGCGGGCGACCTAACAGCAATTCTGTGAAGCATGTAATCATGTTTTAAAATATCTTTAAAAGCAGCAATTTATTAGAGCTTTTCTTTCATTGGCGATGTAACTATGTTGTGAGAACTGCCTACGTTTGAGATGGTGATCTTTGACTTGACTCTTGGGAAATTAGCAACTCAGGATGGGACAAGGTGATAACAGCTGAATTCATAAATGCTCAGTGTGAAAATAAACTCCATGTTGAGCAGTGAACATCCCTTAGGACGTCATATCCAGATGCAGTACAGTGTTCTGCTTGTGACAAAAGTGTCTACAATGTTTCCAGTTGGGTTTTTTTTTTTTTATTCAAGGTGAATCCTTATTCGCTTATATTACAATAAATACACTGTTACACTTTGTGTTGTTAGAAGTTTCTTAAAATAAATAGCTTGACTTTTCCTCTCTTTTTTGGAATTGGGAGAGTGTAGTAGTTAGTTGTCTGGAGGCTGTAGTTTAGTGCTGCTCCCAACTGTGTCACTGACTTGTTGGGTGACCTTGGATAAGTTATTTAACTATAATTTGCAAGTTTTAAAAAGGGAGTGTTACTGTGCACGTGTTGTAATTAATAATATATTAGCTGCAATGGATTTTAAAACTCTGAAACACTCAGTAGATGTAAAATATAGCTTAAATAAACATGCCAGCTACTGTGGAGGCTGAGGCAGGAGGAGCCACACAGTTCAAAGCCAGTTTGGGCAACTTAGCAAGACCCTGTCTCAAAGTAAAAAGGGCTGGGGGTATAGCTCAGTGGTGGCGTGCTTACTTACTTAGCATGCTCAAGTTCCCTGACTCAATCCCCAGTGCCACCCCGTCCCTCCAAAGAGGAGAGTAATTGTCAGTTGGAAAGCTGCCATCTTGACATTCAGGCTAGGACTAAATAGATCATTTTCTTCCAGAAATCAGTTTCAAGATTTATATTTATATAGACCACAATGTGGTTAAAAACTAAATTCACTCTCATTAGTGATTACTAATGCAAACATTACTTTAAAATTTTTTTAATGGGTGTGATAGCATCCCCTCAAAGTGTGAGGGATTAGAAGCCTGAGGCAAAAGGATTGTTGTGAGTTCAAGGCTAGCTGGAGCTGCATACAGATTGAGATCCTGCCTCAGCTGTGATGCTGAGGATGAACCCAGGGCCTCATGGATGCTAGGCTAGTTGCTAGGCTAGT